GGCTGGGTAGCCACTGATTTGGGGAGGAGATGGGGGGGGGCTTGATCAGCTCAGCTCCATTCTTCCCATACCTCGGCCCCAAGTGTACACATTAAGAGCTATCAAGCAGGGACCCTCTGCCCGCCTGCTAGCCCTCCCAGGAAACCCAGTAACTCAGGCTGGTGGAGAGCAGTATTCCCGGAGTAGGAGTAAGCTAAAGCAGGAAGGCAAAACAGGGACGCAGGTCTGGCTTCCTCTCTCTAAACAGCCTGGGCCCCACCCAGCTTTACTCTCACATCCTGGATTTGTTGGCCTGGCCCTTGGCTGCCCTCTGACAGCCCAGGCTGCCTTGTGAGGTGAGGAGTGTGTGTATGTGCACAGGAGAGACATGATCATAGAACAGGAGCTAGCACAGAAAATCAGTGCTAAATAACTCTGTGTGTGGGGAGTGACCTGCTGCCAGAAGAAGCAATCATACTGGAAGTTGGGTGAGGCTGACCTAACCCTTTCCCTACAGCCTGCCTCCCAGCCTCAAGTCCCACCACTAACCTGGTTACAGGGGAAGAACGGAAGGACTAAGAAGCACCCACCACCCAAGGCCACACACACAGAGATCAAGAGTCAGGTGCTCGTGGCTCATGCCTAGCACCCTAGTTATTCAGAGGCTGAGAGCTGCCCATCCACAGTCTGAAGCCAAGAAAGTCCCTGAGACTTTTAACTTCAATCAACCAGCAAAAAGCCAGAAGTGGGGGTGTGGCTCAAGTGGTAGAACACCAGTCTTCAGTGAGGAAAATAAGCGATAGCATCCTGGCCCTGAGCTCAAGCCTCAGTCCCAGAGCACATGCGTGTTCATGCACACATGCACCACACACACACACACACACACACACACACACACACACACACACACACAGACCCTTTTGCTCATTTATAAGAACCAACTCTTGGGTATACAAGCAGAGAAGCTGGGAGAGGGGATCTGATTGGTTCAGAGAAACAAGTCAGGAGCCTTTTCTGGACTGGACTCTCTATAGAGTGGTGGTGGTCAGAGCTATGTCAGTTTTACAGCTCTGTCTGGGTGTCATCAGGAGGAATTCTATTTTCTTTTTTCTTTGGGTTGGTGGGGCTTGAACTCAGGGCCTGGGCTCTGTTTCTGAGCTCTTCAGCTCAAGGCAAGCGCTCTATCACTTGAGCCACAGCGCCACTTCCGGTTTTCTGGTGGTTCCTTGGAGATCAGAATCTCATGGACTTTTCCTACCAGGGCTGGCTTTGAACCACGATCCTCAGCTCTCAGCCTCCTGAGGAGCTAGGATGACAGGTGGGAGCCACTGGAGCCCGGCTTGAGGGGCTCTATTTTCATGCCCGGCCTCCTGCCATGGGTCAGGTTGGGGGGGTATGGGGAACCTCAGGACCTGGCAGAACTTGAGTAGAGGAAAAGAAGCTGTGGGTGGCCCCTGCGGCTTGCGCTTTGGGTCCCCAGGAGACCATGGGCTAAGCGGCTGCCGCCAAGGGCCAGCTGGGGCTCAGCCTGCTCTTCCCCAGCGACAAGCTGTTCAAGGGGTACACAATAGTCCATTGTGCGCAGGACACACCTGAGCCAGGACCTCAGCCCCAAGCCGGGCAGGTGACCCCGGGGAAAGACAGGCAGGGGAGGGAGGCCCTTCCCTCTCCTGTTGGAAAAGTGGGGGTTAAGTAAAGCACAAGGCACAGTTTGGGGGCCCGGAGAGTGGGGTGGGGGGGAAGGAGGAGGGAATACCAGATCAGGCGCACCAAGAGTCACCTTCTGGGGAGGGGGAGGTCTCCCCCCACCTAACCCCCCCAAAAAAGACTGGTGGGAATTCACACTCCCCCCCTCTCCCTTGACACACGCATACCCAGACACTCCCCCCAACCCCGTCCCCAGTCCAAGTACAGAAGGAACTCATCTTCTCTGCTACTGCCCCGGGGGGGGGGGCGGGGAGAGTCTGGAGTTGGGGTGGGTGAGTTGGGTGCTGTTGGGGTGTCGGGACGACTTCCCCCGAGCCTTGCAGGAAGCCATGCACCTGACCCGACTGTCCCTCCCCCTCCCCCCCACCTGCGAGCTCTCTCTCTCTCTCTCTCTCTTTGCCTCAGTTTCCCCAGCCCAGAGATTCCACACATCCTGAGGCCTCCCCATGCGTGTCCCCCCCCCACATCCCATCTCTAGGTGTAGAAAGTGCCAGAGGCATTGGGTGAAGTCTTGGGGAGGAGGAGGGGGGTGGATGGAGGTGGACACACGTGTGTGGGGGGTACACGCACCGATCCATGGGGGGGGCGCAGGTGCAGGGGGAGGAGGAGGTGGGGGAGGAGGGGGAGGACTCACCTGCGCGTAGTAACGCAGCCACAGCTCGTACAGCCGCTCCGAGGCGGCCATGGCCCGACCCGGCTCCGGCCTCGCCGCCACCTG